ACACCGCCCTCTGCGCGTCGGTAGCCCCCCGGAATCGCTAGATCGGTCGGCGCCGGACCGCGAATTTAACTGCCCGTAACTCCCGAAACCCGGGGGCTATCGACACGGGGGTGGTCTCATTCGAAAGAGGGCCGTACACTCGATTCACATTCGAGAAGGTTCCTCGAGCTGAAGGGATCCCCCGAATTTGGTGCAGATCCGCCGCGCCATTACGGAGATATGGCCGTTCAAAGTTTCAATTGTTTTCCATAGACTTAAGCTTTAAAGCGTTTCATCCAGGTCGCCAGTAGCAAACAATGGAGTGCGCTCTGCTGGACAAACTAAGTAATTACACCATTTCAAACATTTTATCTGCGTTATATGCGCTGTAAAAAAAAATTTCATATCGGCGGCATATTCGCCGATACCGATATTGGCGACAGGCTCATATCGGCCGATAATATCGGCTAAACGATATATCGGTCAGGCTCTAGTCACGTCCCTTATTTATTAGGGGAGGCTAATAAGGAGCAAGTGTGTGTGTGCACGTTTACCTGTATGCAATTAAAAACTCTCAGAATGCTGGTGATTACTGTAATTGCACTGGTTACGATGGCTGGGGAGGTCAAAGGTCATTGTACAGTCACTGGAATGGAAGCAGTTGCTCGGCAGTAATTGCCATCATTAGCATGGAAATGTAGACTCCAGTTCCAGGAACTCATTCTGACCAAAAAGGCAGGGGACGAAAAAAAAAAAAAACCTGAAATGTTTCAACTGGAGAATAACTCCAATGGGGGTTACCAAGACTATCCATCTGGACTGCCATGAGATCATGTGAGGCGAGTCTCCCTCCAGCTCCATCAGTAATTGCAGCTTAAGTCATTCAAGACAAAGATTTTATCTTAAGCCCATTAAACTGAACAGCACAAGCGTGGGGTACTTTTTAAGGGGAAAAAACAAGCATGAATAATGAAAGCATATGTAAGATCAGAACGGCTGTGAGCACACACACACACACACACACACACACACATCATTATTAAATAATAATGAAAGCATATGTAAGATCAGAACGGCTGTGAGCACACACACACACACACACACACACACATCATTATTAAATAAGAACAAACCTCTAATAGCCAGAACAAATCTAATGGACAAGAATTTAGTTTTACCCCTCTGCCTTAAAGGAATAGTTCACCCCATTATTTACTCACTCTCATGTCATTTCAAACCTGCATGACTTTCTTTACTGGAACACAAAGGATATTAAACACAGACTGGGGCTGTCATGTTCCAAAATTACAAAAAGCACCATTAATATATTGTAAAATACAAAACGTGGACTACACTATATTCTAAATAGTCTTCTAAAATAAATATATCTGTGAATAACAGACTGGAGTTTAAGTCATTAGTTACTGAAAATGTTGATATATATTCTACCTTTCCTTAGCATGTTTAGGAGAGAAGTTGCAATTTCAGATTCATGAACAATTTGTTCTTCTGCGTCAGATGTTTTCAATGAATTAGCTGTTCACAAAATGGATATTTCACAAAATTTTTTTTATTCAGTTACTAATTGCTCACCTTCATGTCGTTCTAAACCCATATGACGTACTTTCCTCTGTGGAACACAAAAGAAGATATTTTGAGAAATGAAAAAATATTTTTATGTCCATACAATGGAAGTCAATGGGCACTAATGTTGTTTGGTTGGCACCAATGTTCTTTAAAATATCATCTGTTGTGTTCCATAGAAGAAAGACATCATATATGATTGGAATTAAATGAAGGTGAGTAAATGTTGACAATATCAATTTTGGGGAGAACCATCTTTTTCAATGATTCATCCATGAATCGGACTGACCCAGTTCTAATTGATTCAATGATTCACAATGATTAATAGTGTTTTTTCTTGTTGAATAACAAATACATTTTACACAAAGCACTATAGTATCACTCCAGAAGAGTAATATAGCAATATAGCATACAAATATGATTAACACTTAAGATGCATTTACACCTTTTTGAAGCTTGAAAGCTCTGGTTATCTTTTATTGTAATTGCAAGGTAAAGAATGATCAGTAAATTATATAAAGTTTGGAATTAGGGTGAGTAAATGATGACAAAACTATCCCTATATAAACCTTGGCCGATATGGTTGGTGGATTAACATAAACTATCTGTAAGTACATATTGCATATCCAGCAGTCGGGAGAATTCAATTAAATATTAAATGAAGATTATTGTGGGAAGAAAATGAACAGTGAGCCAATGTTCAGCGTAGCACTGGGCTGGTGAACAATACAGGACACAGAAAGAAAAGGAAATCACACTCTCCGTGCTGTCCTGCTTCCAGGAGAGAGTGGCTGAAAACAAGTCATTGTGTTGGAACAGAGCTTCTGCGGACAGGACTGGACTGGACGCGCTCAGTGGAACAACTCGGAAATGATAAAAGCAGGAAAAACAACGTGTGGATGGAAAAGCCAATGGAACAGCCAGGAAGGTTAAAGAAAGGATACAAACAACAATGTGAACTCAGTTTACTAAGTAAGTCCTATTTCTGATCTTTCACCACTCCTATAGAGCAGGAAAGCACAAAAATACCAGAAAAAATAGAGGGGACAAAAAGATCAGGTCAGTGACCATATTAAAAATCTCGTCATCCACATTGGTGCCAAAGACCAAAGTGTCGCAATGAAAAATCAACAGGACTATATATATATATATATATATATATATATATATTTCTGCCAGCCTTTATTCATTATAATAGACAACAAAAACTTGTCTGACTGTTTGAATACAATGTTGCTGAACTGCCACTGATAGCATTTGCTGAAAACAACATGACACTCTCTGAGGATGTGATTAGCATTCCTGAAACATTAATGCTGCATTAACAGTCCTTCAGCTGAAATACTTCTCCACAGAGACAAAAAAGGAAGGAGGAAAACTGCAGGAAAAAAATAATATAATTAGTGCACCCTTGTGGTTGCTAACAGAAGTGCAGTGTCAAAGACAAAAGCATTACAACAAAGTATGGTCATTTTTTATATATGTATAGTGTATATATGTATTTATATATGTATAGGCAGTCATGTGACACTGAAGACTGAAGTAATAATGCCGACAATTCAGCTTTGCATAACAGGAATAAATTACACTCTTTTTGACATCACACTCTAAATTGTCATAATATTTCACAATATTACCTTTTTTACTGTATTTTTGAACAAATAAATGTGACTATATAGACCACTTTCAATGCAAATTTCAATTTTCAATAATTAAACCAGACTAAATGAACGTGTAAATTGACATCTCTAAAAATAACAAATTACCTCTCAAACACACACACACAAACTCGTTCACACTCTCCCTGTGTGTTAGGTGAAGGCATTTTGCTCTCAGCGGGAGTTCTGGCATTCAGAGTGTTTGAGATGGGAAGCAGGAGGTGGTTCTCGCTGACACACACATACAGTACACAAGCCACACAAGCACAACTGCAACACATATAGCACTACACACACCTACAAACACAAGCAGTGTTACCTGGCAGTCTCTTGAGCGGCTGGAGACGCATGTTGAGGGCCTGGTGGGACAGCAGAGGAGAGGAGGGGAGAGAGCGCGTCACACCCTCCATGATCCGAATGTGCTGCATGCCCTCGGTCACCGGGAGAGGAGGGACAGCGTAATCCCCCTCGAACACACACTCGCCCTCCACAGAGTCACTGCCTGGAGAGTGACAGAAAGAGAGGCTGAGGTCACAAATGAATTCCATAATGAAGCGGACATTCTAACACTTTATGATAGCAAGATACGCTCAAGAGACCAATCATACGAGCACAGAGAAGGCTCATTTGCATATTGGAGTCACAAACACACGGTTCAGCTTATTAACACTCCTCTATCATTGTTCCTAAAGAGACGACACCTCCAGATTTAGAAACAAAGAGCAAACAGAAAGAAAGAGAGCAAGAAAGAAAGATTGAACATGATGTCAGACGCCTGTAGCTGTCATGTTTGTGTGAGTGGACATATTGTGCCTTACACACAAACACTGATACACCTTTGCAATTTTGATTGTATACTAATTGGCTTAGCAAGATTTTTTTTTAACTAACCTCCGTCATGACAGTAGTTGACTTGAAAGTAGTATGACCATAAAATACATTTTTGGTAATATTAGTATGCGAGTATGTGAGTTGCGAGTAATTCAGAACAACAAAGCACAACGTGTAAATCAGACTTCAGAACAGATTTCAAATAAACATGCCAAGTGTGGAACAGACATAAAAATGATGACTCTAACTAGAAATTCAGATGCCTGAGGATGCCAAGTCACATTTTACTCTTGCTGCTCTACTCAGGGAAAGAAGTAAACTCAATCAAAAGATCAACTGGAAACTGATGATGCAGATGAGCGACAGGAATCGTGACTCATCTGTGAAGGTTCTAGAATGACAGATTGATGACTGAACAAACCGATGGAAGTCAGCTAAATTATTCAAGGGATTCACGGTTTGAGCAGAGTCTGAGTCTGATTGCTTTTTGAGCTGTTCAGTAGTTCTTTTTGATGCAGACCTGAGTTTAGCGCACCTTATTTAATTCAGAGCTGCAAAATAAATAAATGAAATAAAATAAATTACAGTTTACAATGACTATTTTCTATTTGAATACATGTTAAAGTGTAATTTATTCCTGTGATGTTAAATCTGAATTTTCAGCATCATTACTCCAGTCTTCAGTGTCACATGATCCTTTAGAAATCATTCTAATATGCTGATTTGCTGCTCAAGAAATACTTATTACTATTATAAACTTTGAAAACAGTCGTGTTGCTTAATATTTTTCTGAACTGTGATTTTTATGATTCATTCTTTGATGAATACAAAGTAAAAAAAAACAGCATTTATTTGAAATAGAAATATTTTGTAACATTCTAAATCTTTACTGTCCTTTTTGATCAATTCATTTCATTCCAAAAAATCTTATTGAAAAAATTAATGGAATACATCTAAATAAATAAGTAAGTTTTAACTTCTGTATGTCAGATGACAGTGAAGAATCCCATCACAACGCAATGTGTCTGTTTGTGCTGGCATTAAAAATGCCACCATGGGTCTTTCGTTAACTACCAATTCAACTTCAAATTTCATTTGAGCAGCAGCAGGAGGCTGGAGTTCATTTAATCACTCACATGTGACTCTCATCCAGGGCCTAAAACTAACTTTTTGCCACCCCTGCCAATGGCCGGTGACATGATCAAATTTACCGGCCAAAAAGTTTTTTTACCGGCCATGAAACAGGCTGTTATTACTACTACAATGACTAAACATATTTACAATATTTTTAATTTGTCCTGCTGGTGCATTTCCCCTCAATTTTACCTATTAATTATAGCCATTCAACATTACAGTACAATTGAAAGACATTATTTTTAACATTTAATAGGCTCTGAAATATATAACTTTTAATTTAAGTGATTTTAAAATCTTCACATAAACTATATTATATATGCATAAACTATACATATTAATCTTTATTCAAGCTACAAAAGTTAATCAGCGACTAGAACGGTCCAAGGATTTCTCTTTTTCTTTTGTTCTTTGATTTACATCAATGACAGACTTCAGCAGGTTTCACTTTAAAAAAATCAGCGCCGTCTCTTTAAAACCTGATGCATATGACGTGGATCTGACACATATCCGATTTTAATAAAAAGATTATTTTATTCGCTTATGTCAGAAAGAGTGAATCTCTTTAAAAACTGTCTGTTGTTTTCACTTCATTGCATTGTTATAATTCGATAAAATAAAAGTTGTACCCGCCAACTGGTGACTGACACTGTTACACGGACTCGCCAACGCTGATTTTTACTCGCATTTGGCACTTGGCGAGTGTTAATTTTAGGCCCTGCTCTCATCAGACCTGTGAGATCAGAGCGCTGTGAAAAACACGAGTCTCACTTTAGTACGATTCCCGTAGTTACTATTCATAGAGCCCAGTAAATCTAGCGTGTGTGTGTCTGTGTGTGTGTGTGTGTGTGTTTGCACTGCTGGGGTTGGGTGGGGTCTGAACTGGGCTGATGTCAAGCAATCTCTGTTCTCTCTCTCTCACACACTACAGATTCTTCAACCCATTTTCTTCTCCATCCATCAGCCCCACCCAACATCTTCATAAAACACTCTCATGCATTTCAAATCGGATCGTGGCTCACCTCTTGCTCTCATTTCCTCTTCCCCTGTGGTTCAGCATCTTTGGCATTACTTTTGATCAAATAAAACACAAAGGTGTAGATATTGTGCTCCCCAAACATAATTTTGGCCATCACTCTCAAACTCAAATGTCCAAATGCACCTATGACGTCCAAAAATGCCGTCTACGCTAGACTTGGATCTAAAACATCAGAACCACACCCAAAAATGTAATCTCATCATTCTGTCCTCAAATGAGGCAGTTTTCATGATTCAAGCCTCCTCTGAGACTCTCTAAACACTCTCACATTCACTCTCGCCTCAGTAGAAGAGGATTAAACCTCCTTTAGAGACACAACAAGCTGTCAGATGTGCAATCGTTCCTTGTATCTTCCTGAATGCAGGATGTGGACTGAAGCGAGATGCTTTTACACAAGCAGACGGCAAGAGAGCAGAGGCAGAGTGAGCAGTTCGAACCCTCGGGTGTTAATCATCAGACACTATCCGCTTCGCAGAATCAGCTATAGTGTATGTGAATGAAAGCCAGTGACTACAATGAACAAACAGACTCATAATCAGCACAGAAAATGCAATGTCTTTTGTTTCTGCATGAGATTCTTTGAGGAGTTTTATGTTCTGGCTGAATTCGCAGTGTGTGGCCACTGCAGCTAGGCTGCGTCATAGGATGGCGTCAGACAGGAAGAGGCCATGTTGCGCCCAGTCTGGCCACAGCGACAGATGGCACAGACAGGAAGAGAGGATAGGAGAGGAAAGACTGATGAATGAAGCACCCACCTGCTAGTTACCACACATATAGACAACACAGACACACTCTTCATGTGTCACTATAGGTGAGTTATGTTTCAGCTCAATAACACACTCTGCAAACAGGGTGCCAATACTGGTGCCACACAAGGTGCCTGATGTAGGAAATGGTTAGAATGACATAAAACAAAATAAATTGCTACTATTATAACTAGTGGTCGACCGATATAGCGCCAAGGCCGATATATCGGCCGATATTTGGCATTTTTGAAATATCGGCATCGGCCGATAAGTTTTCCTGTTTGGCCGATGCGTTCGAGGC